CCCCCCTTTCAAAAAAAATATAATAATATGTAAAAAAGGGATAAGCAGAATAAAAAGCTGGAAAAGCCATTAGGATGGGATGCGTGCTGGGAGCTGCAGGCCTGCTGCTGTGGGCGTCCATCCTGCATGGGGACAGCCATAGGGGTCCTGAGCCCCCCCCCACACACACACACCCTCAGCACCCACCCCGTTCCAATGAGCCTCGCCGGCCCCGCACACAAAAACTCCCCAAAAAAAGGTTTTGTTTTGTTTTTTTTTTCACCACCCCTCAAAAAAATAATAAAATTAAAATAAAATAAAAGTTCTTTTTCCACCCCCAAAAAACTTCGACGGCCGCAGTTTCGCCCCCACAGACGAGGAGGGGGCGGACGGCCCGCCCCACCGCAGGGCGCTGGGTTTTGGGTCGGACCTACAGAAAAGCGGCTCGGATGGGGCGGGGGGCTCCGGCTGTGGGCTTTGTGTGCCGGCGCCGCATCTGGAGCGCGTTAACTCCGCTCGGCAGCGCGCACACATGGAGCGGATTAAATCCCTTCTCGCTTTCCTCCCCGCCCCCCCCCACCACCACCATCACCGTTACCCCCCCACCACCACCTCCTCACCCACGGCCCCGCAGTGCTCTCTGCCCCCCCCCTCCCCCCCCCGATCTCCCCAACGGCCCCGACGCTGCGCCGCCCCGAACCCCAAATCCCAGAGCGAGGGGTGGGCGGATGGAACCGGGGGTGCCTCAATGTGGGGTTGGGGAGTGCGGGTTTGTGACCCCACTGCTGTCCTATGGCATCCTCAGAAAGGTGCTGGGGGGGGGTATTCCCCCTAAAAGGTGTTGGTGGGGGGTATTTGCCCCATAAAGATGGGGGGGGCATCCCATCCCTCCAAAGTGAGGGCGCACCAAGGGTGGGGGCACCCCGAGGGTGATGGGATCCTAAGGATGTGGGGATCCCCAACGTGGTGGTATCTCAATGGTAGGGGCACCCCAAGGGTGGGGGTGTCCCCAAGATAGAAGGGGTCCCAAGGATGAGGGGGGGGGGATCCTAAGGATTGGGAGGTGCCAAGAATGAGGGTGCCCCACAAGTGGGGGCACTCCATGGGAGGGGGATCCTCCATCCTCAAAAAATTGCTGAGCAGGGGGTGGATCTCCCATAAAGGTGCTGAGGGTGGGGGATTTTTCCCCAAAAATTATGTTGGGGGGGGAGGGTGGTATTCCTCCATAAAGATGCTGGGGGTGGTGGGGTGGATTTTACACTAAAATGATGCTGGGGGTGGGATATTCTCCCATAAAGATGGTGAGGAGGGGATATTCTCCCATAAAGATCCTGAGGGTGGGGGGTTTTTCCCCCAAAAAGACGCTGAAGGAAGGGGTATAGGGGAGGTATCCCCCCATAAAGATGCTGAGAGGGGTTATTTCCACCTGAGAGGGGCGATGAGAGGGGGATATTTCCCAAAAAAAGATGCTGGGGTGGGGGGGGATATTCCCCTATACAGATACTGCGATGGAGGGGGGGGTTTATCTCCATACAGATGCTGAGGGAGGGGAATTCCCCCATAGAGACGTCTTGGGGGTCTTTCCACACATCCCAACAGGGTCTGACCCCAAAGCTCTTCCCCACAGGGAGGGTGGGGGGGGTCTGCATGCCTCAGTTCAGTTTCTCCCCCCCTCCCCCCCATGGCCACAGCCCACAGCCCGCCCCACCCCGGCTATTCCTGAACCCCAGGCACCCTCCAATTGTGGCCGGCAGGGCAGAACCCCGTAATCACGGCACCGACTGCGCCGCTATTTCCAGCTGTGCTCAAAGCAGCCATGGGCGTAATTGGCCTCTGGGCAGCCAGAGAGACGTGGCTCCTCGCCCTAAAATAGGACCTGTGCGTCCCACCGGGGACCCCCGGCCCTGGGGGGATGCAGGTGGATGGGTTGGGGGTTGTAGGGTGGCCCCGTTCTGCGTCCCCTGTGTGTGGGATAGGGCTGTGGGGTTGGGGTTATGGAGGGGGTGGGGGCACAGGCAAGGTGGGAGAATCACACGAATGGGGGGTGGGGGTCTTTAGGGTGAGGGCAACCTAAGGGTGGGGGGGTCCACAACATGGGGGTGTGTCGATGGTGGGGGCACCCCAAAGGCAGCGGTATCCCCAACGTGGGCTGGTCTCAAAGGTGGGGGCACCCCAAAGGGTGGGGGCACCCCTAAGGTAGAAGAATCCCCAACACAGGGAGGTTCCAAGAGTGGGGGGATCCCAAAGATGGAGGGATCCCAAGGGGTGGATGGATCCCAAGGATAGGGGTGAACCTGACATAGAGGGATCCCAAGGATGGGGGGGATCCCAAGAAATGGGGGGATCCCAAGAATGAGGCTGCCTCAGTGAGAGCTTCCCAAGGTTGGGGGGATCCCAAAGGTCGGAGTATCCCCAACATGGGGAGCTCCTGAAGTTGGGGGCACCTCAAAGGTGGGGGGGGATCCCAAGGACAGGAGGATCCCCAACATGGGGACATCCCAAGGATGGGGACACCCAGAGGGTCTCAAGAATGGGGGGGTCCCAAAGATGGGGACACCCCAAGGGTGAGAGCATCCCAAGAGTGGGGGGAACCCGAGGACTGTGGGGGTCCCAAGGATGGGGGCAGGGCTGTGCACCCCCAGTTGAGCAGCAGCAGCAGCCCAGCC